TAAACATGAATTGTTTCATGTTGTGGCTATTGAAAATGAAGTTCATATGAATATTCATGTACAAGCTTTGTTGGTTGTCATAGTCTACCTTTTCTTTTGGTTAAGCTTTTATTTCTTATAGTGGAGAAAGCATGGCTCTTATATGTAATTTTTAAAGAAACTGCCAAACTGGTTTTCAGATATTTTTACCATCTTATTCCATTAGTAGTGTATGAGTGATCTAGTTCTAAAGCCTGATTTTGTCTTTTGTATCTGTTTTTGCTATTTTGTCATGATTATTTAATATCTAGTTTTTTCATTAATAATATCTGACAGTTTCCATGTTTAGTAGATGTCAAGCATTCAAGCAAATATTTTACAATAATTTTCCTTGTGTTCTCAAAGCAAGAAGGCAAAAGAGAATTATTATTCTCATTTCACAATGCTCTTATTTCATATAACAATTTATAGTGCTGGAGTTAATATGTAAAGTTAATATATAAAATTAGTATATAAAATAAACAAGGCTAGAATTCCTATATACAAAGGATTAGCTAAAATAATCTAATTTTAATATAGTCTGTTTAAATCCTATAAAAACTACAAGGAATTTATCTTCAGAAATTACACAAAGAGATCAAGAGAAGAGTCAACATTATCATTGCAAAACAATAGCAACAACAATATAAAGACGAGAACAAGGTAGAAAATTATGGGCAAAAGAAGTATGCTACAAACAAAAAACGTTAACAAAATGGTGAATATTACAACTCTATTCAGTAGACTGAAATAAATGGAACTACACACAGAAGCAGTTACAACAGACATCTCAGATTTAAAAAAGCAACTTTATATATGCCAATTTTATTATATGCCAAAATATTGGATGACCTAGAAGTACATAGCTTCCTGCAAAAATACAACTTACCAATATTGAATTAAAAAGAAATAGCCTGAACAGACCAAAAGCAAAAATCAAAACAAAACAAACAAAAAACACAAAAGCTCTCAACAATGAAAAGCCCAAGAGCAGATGATGTCACAGGTGAATTCTACCAAACATTCCAAGAATTGTTTCCAATTCTTTCTAAAATTTTCCAAAGATAGAATAGAGACACTTCCAAACTCATTTCATAAGGCCAGATTCCAAAGCCAGAAAAAGATACCATAAGAAAACGACATTACAAGCTAATATCTTAATGAGAATAGATGCAGATATCCTCAATGAAATATCCTAAATAAATATTAGGTCACTGAATTCAGCAGCAGTTGCAAAGGAAAAGCATTCTGAGCAAGTAAGATTTATCTATACAGTGCAAGATTGGCCCAGCATATGTAAATCTATCAACACTATACAAGACATTAACAGAATAAAATACAAAAATTCACATGATCATCTTGATAGATTCAGAAAAATCAGTCTGAAAAATTTCAACATCATTCATGATAAAATAAACCTTTCAACAAAATAGAATAGGAAGAACATAAAAACCAGTTATATAAAGCCTGCAGGTAGCATCATAACCAACAGATAATAACTGAAAACTTCACCCATAAGATCTAGTAGAAAGGAAAATTTCTCTGGATGTTTTTTTGTCTGTTGTGGGGCTTGAACTCAGAGCCTGGGTTCTGTCCTTGAGCTCTTTCACCCAAGGGTAGCACTCTACCAATGTGAGCCACAGCACCACTTCAAAGTTCTCATGTTTAGTGTTTCATAGTAGTACTGGAAGTCCTATTCAGAGCAATGAGGAAAGAACATGAAATCAATGACATCAAAAATGGAAGGAAAGAAATAAAATTGTCTGTTTGCAGATGACATGGTTCTATATTTGGAAGACTCTGAAGATTTTCTATAAAAATTGTTACAACTTCAAAACAGTTAACCAAGTTTCACGAAAGAAACCCAGCACACAAAATAACAGCATTTCTTTATTTTAAATCCTACTAACAGTAACATCCAAAGAAATGATATCCTTTCTAATAAGTTTAATCCAGGAGGCAAGAAATTTAGAAAGTGAAAATTATAAAACAAGTTTGATGAAAGAAATTGAAGACCAAATAGATGGAAATGCTACTATTGTCAACAGGCCCTTACTGCTTAAAACACTCAGGAGATTCAACACAATCCCTATCAAAATATCCATGACATTTTTCACAGAAAAGATAAAGCCAACTCTAAAATTCATATGAAACCTCAAAAATGCTTATCACAAAAAAATGTGATAAAAGAAAGCAATCTTGAGAAAGAACATATTTAGAGAAAACACATTTCCTTGTTTCAACTTATATGACAGAGATTTAGTAACCAAACAGTATAGTGTTGGCACTAGAATAAACAGATCAATACAACAGAACAGAGATCCCAAAAATAAACCCATGCATATGCATATGATGAACTAATTTCACAAAGGATACACAATGAGGAAAAAAACAGTCTCTTTGATATGTGGTGTTGGGAAAATGCATATTCACTTGTAAGAAAATGAAATTGTACCCATAGATTAAATAAAAATAGCTAAAAATGGAATATTAATAACTGACATTTAAATGTAAGACCTGGAATGATAAGACCCCTAGAAATAAATGTAGACAAAAAAGCTTGACATTGGTCTTGGCAATGATGTTTTTGGACATGGCACCAAAAGCACAGTAAATAAATCAACCAGACTACATCATACTAAAAGTTTCTGTTTAGTAAAGGAAAAACATAAAATGATAAGACAGCCTGAAGATGAGTGAAAATGTTCGCAAACTATATATCTGACATAAAATTGATATCTAGACCAATTAAGGGAATCACAGAAGTCAAGCACAAAGAAAACTGCAAATATACTAACAAACAAGCTCTTGAATACACATCTTTCCAAAATAGATACACAGATGGTGAGCAAGTATATGAAAACACGATCAATAGGACGTATTGTTAGAGAAATGCAAGCCAAAACCACAATGAGATTTCAACTAATAACTTTTAGCATGACTACTGCCAAAAGATAGTATGTGGGAGAAAGCAGAGCCACTGCTTATCATTGGTGAGAATGGAACTTGGTTTAGCCACAATGGAAAACACTATGGAAACTCTTTTCCAAAGGCTGTAGCATGGAATAGAGGGAAACAAAAGGTACAAAGGGAACACATTTCAGTTATGTGAATGGATAGTATCTAGAGATCTACTAGACAGTATAAGAACCATAATTGCTAATAATATATTTTATGTTCCAATTTTGCTGATAGAGTAGATCTCAAGAATTCTCACCAATGCAAACATAGGGTAACCAAGTAAGTGGATGGAGCTGTTAATCAGCTTGAGTAAAGGAATCATTACACTCTATACATGTATTATCAAAGTTCCATCTTGAACAACACACATATATACATACAAGTTTATTTAGAAAATAAGAATGTCAGGCAAGCTTATAGATGGATGAAGCAGCTTGTGGAAATTCTCTGAGACAGAAATGACCACAGGAGTTTTAGAGAATAAAATTAAGGCTGAAGCAAAATGTGAAGGGGAGTCTGGAGTTAAAGCTGAAGCAGTAAACAGAAATCATGGACAGAAAAGCAAACAAACAAACAAAAACAGGTTCTGTTTGTTCCTGCCACTTGAAGCCTCTGAGTGAGATATGCCAATCACAAAAACTGATATTTGGTAAAATAAGGGTAACTGATAAACTGATGTTTTCAGAATTGTTTGGGAGGGGAATAATGTATATTATTTTAGAGAAATTTTGGTGAGTTCAAATGAATTCCAGTTATCTTTCTAGTTTATTTCCAACAGTTATAAATTAAGCACAATAAATTTTAAATTAGTAATTATGATAAATATTCTGATATATAGGAATTATTCATATTTTTATACAAAAGTTTGGTGGCAGATTATAAAGCATGTAGATATGCATGCACAAAACCACCACTTTAGAGAAACAGTATTTTGCTAGACTTAGTGGCAAATATCACTTATGCTAAATGAAATATTCTGTATAGTACATAGTGTAGCTACTAAACAAGCTATTTACTTTTCGTGGTAATGGTGAATAGCTTCCTTACCTAAAGAAATATTTAATAGGTAGTTGTGAGGAGACATGTAAGATTTGATCAATTCTTATAAAGACTCTTTTCTCATGGAAATGCTTTAAATTCATGGTGTTACAGTTTCAAGCTATACATATTAGTGCCCACAAGAGAGAGACATATTTAGACGTTTTTGAAAAAAAAATACTGTATAGATTCATGGCAATGATCATTTCTTCTTATAAAGTATTGACTCATTAACAGAATTTTTAAAAGACAATGTTTATTTTCTTGAAATAGCAGTTACTTACTTTCTAAACAAGTTGTACAGGAGATCAGGTAATTTGGTTTCCTACTTTGTGAAGACAGTACTCATTAAGTTTATCTTTTCAAGTATATTTTTCTCGCCCCCCCTCCCCCGCTTTGGAGAAGCACATAGAGTAAAAGATTTTAAATGTCTCCAATGTGCAGATTAGATGGTATAGTCTTTACTTTTTAATCCTCTTATTTGGAATTATTCCTTGGAATCACGAGAGACAAATACCATTTGAGAAAGTGCATGCTGTATTTTATGATAAAGCTGAGAGATGTGGAGCTGAGCCCTTGATCTTTGAATTTCAAAAGTACAAACCGAACGGGAGGTTTCACCCTTAAAGGGCTGGAAAAAATAAGTTAAATTAAGCCCAAATTTCATTCTGAATTATATCATGTGTGAAAAGGAACTCTAGGTATAGTTAGGAAAGGCATTTAAGCCAAACGCTTTGCTTTTCTTCTGTACTGAGGAGTGAATAGACACTGAAAGAGATTTGCAGATCCACTGTTTTTAGGCAGGAAGAATGCTCGTTAAATGCAGAACGCTGCTCTGGCTCATGTGTTTGCTCCGAGGTGTAGGTTTTGTTCGACTGACGTATCAGATAGTCAGAGTGGTTACCACACCGATGTTGTAGCAGCTGCATAATAAATGACTGAGAGAATCATGTTAGGCATGCCCACCTAACCTAACTTGAATCATGCGAAAGGGGAGCTGTTGGAATTCAAATAGACTTTCTGGTTCCCAGCAGTCGGCAGTAATAGAATGCTTTCAGGAAGATGACAGAATCAGGAGAAAGATGCTGTTTTGCACTATCTTGATTTGTTACAGCAGCCAACTTATTGGCATGATGGAGTGACAGGAAAAACAGCTGGCATGGAAGGTAGGATTATTAAAGCTATTACATCATTATGAATACAATTAGAAGCTGACCATGACAAAGCATATGTTTGAACAAGCAGCTGTTGGTAGCTGGGGTTTGTTGCCGAGCTCTTCAAACTCTGCAAACAGTGTTGCTTTTACAGAATGGATTTTAAAATTACCTTGTGCTGCGTTAGATTTTTGGGGGGTGTGCTTGCCTACAACCTCTGGGAAGCACTTCTGGGATAGAAATCAGTGTTAGAAGATTTTAGAATAAAGTATTTTTCAAGAGTCGAGGTTTCTCCAGGTAGATGATAACAGGAAGGGAAATCTATGGGGAAATCTACCCTAGCTCAGTTATATGTAATTTACTTGCAAGGACTGATTGATATATTGGCATATTCCGACATCCAAAGAAATGATAATGTGTACAATGTTTGGATAGGTTGGAAATTTTTAGACTTGGTTTCTGTTTTATAAGGAGTTTGGCTGTCAGTCATTTTGCCTCATCAATTTCTACCTTTGACATTTATTCAGTCATTCTGCATTATATGAAGGAAATATATCAATATCTCCTGCAGGGTTTTTCAACAACTCTAGCATCTGTTTCAGCTATTGAACTGTATTCACGTTTTGCCAAGTTGATGTCGACCCAGCTGGTCTATCATTTCTCGCTTGATTACTGCTCTTAATTTCTCTATATCAGCTTGTTTCAGAGAGGGCTTTGAAAGCTGTTAATGGGAAATGACAGAAAAAAAGATAAAGTATTTCAAATTGGAGCACTTATTTATTTGTTTAGAACCTTAATGACTTTTACTTTATATTCTTGTCTGCGTACAATTTTTAAAACCCTTTTTCTGTTTTGCAATATTTCTTTCTGTCAGTGAATTATAACTCTACGTACTTTTAAACAAATGGAATGTGCACATGCACTGTATCTAGCTCCAAAAGAAAGTTTTAGGGAAAAGGGGAACAAGTTAAGCTCTTTTGTTTTTTGACACTATGCATCGTTTTTATATACTATCTTCATACACTGTCATGGGGACCGAACATACTGAAATTATTTTTATCACCACTAGGCTAAAAAATATTCAAAGCTGTTTTTAACAAGTGACTACTTAAAATAAACGTCAAATAATACAGAAATATATTTTCCTGAGTAAGAAAGCATGATTATTAAGTATATAATATAGCATCTTTAGCTCTCTACTCTATCTCCCCAGTTAGTCTGAGAAGCTAAATTATCCAAGTTAATAGACTCTTATATATGAACATCTAACTTGACCTTTCAGTGTACAGGGTACTACTCCTATGTCCTGTGACTTTTTTTTTATAGTAATGGTAATTTCCCAATCATCATGGTTAAGGAACACTACTGGCTGTTATGTAACTTTTTTTTTTCCCTTGAATGTTAGTCCATGTTTTTCAATTACGTATTCCTCTTAGGAAGACTGAGTTAAACAACATGTATTTAAATATCAAGCAACTGATTAGTTACTGATAGACAATTATACTTGCTTGTATTCATCCAAAATATTTACTAACATGTGTTTTGAAAAATGGGGATTTGGATGAGTACTTTTTAACCTTGAAGCATACATTTCTGTTGCTGACTATATCATTTATAATTCATATGTATGGCAGGGAAAATAGTTTTCAGAATGTGTAATTTTAGCAGCAAGAGATATTTTTGACAATGTGGCTTGGACAATCTTATTATTTCCTTGTAATACTTTTGGTTACTGTATATGTTTTTGTATACTTGTTACCATACTTGGTTAATCTTTCAAGAGCTAAAAGACTGGCAGAATTGTGCATCTAAATCATATAGGGTTAATTTGGGTGGGTTGACAAAACCCAGCTGTGTCCACACTGTTGTTTAAACTGTACCGTTCATCTTTTAATTTCATCTAACTTTTTGTAGCTATTTTAAGTGACAATTCAAGTTTGGAAAAAAAAACTCTTTAACATTGCTTCTTTAGTAGGATTATTCTTTGTGAATTGTCCTCCGTGGGGGAAAAGAAAAAGCATGTGAGTTTCCGGCTAGCTTTGCGCTCCTGTTACCATAGTTACTTACAAAAAGGAAAAAAAAAACCGTTTTTCATTCAATGAAGATAGTATAATTTAAATCAGCTACTGGACTTCCCCAAGTGTGGGTTTTGTTTGTTAGTTTGTAGTTTAGGCTTGCTTTGTTAGTGACTAGGAAGTGCTCTCTATTTAATTCCATTGATGAATGGAAAAGACAGACACTAGGTGGCACCAGCTGTTGATTATTAATGAAATCTTAAAGGCTTTGCGCCACACACCTGAAGAGCAGGCTTACCCTTTCTGATAAACACAGTGTAAGAGTTAGAAATGCTCATCGATATTTCTGACTCTAGCATGCAAAGTGATGAGACCGTGGGAAGTATCTAAATCTCAGCTGGTTAATTCCTTGGTTTCAGGGGTGATTGAAAAGGAGGGAAGGAGAAGAAGAAACGCATAAAAAAAAGTTAAGAAGATGTAGGACTAAATGAAATAGGTTTTAGCCATTTGAATATATTTTTAATAAAGAATTGATGACTTTTATAAGTTCCCATAGGTTTCCCCCCCCAAATTTTCCACAAACCAAGATACTTCCCCTCACTCAAGGCATTTATAGTAAAAACAAAACAACAAAAACAAAACAACTTTTTAGGATGAAGATATTATTGTGTATCATATTTTTTTAATTTCAAAAAATAATCCTTGGTTTCCTTCTAGTGATGACCCTGTCAGATGAACTCCCCTGCATATGATATGGTAGTTGCCTTTCAGGTGTGCGGCTTTTCAAGCCTGGAGAGACACTATCAGTTACAAAATATGTTTTGAAATGTTTATCCTGAGAAGCTTGTTCCATCCTGTTATTCTGCCATTCTCCTGTCTCATCTACCTCTTGAGAGAGCAAACAAAACCAAAAAGCATTTAAGCCCGCGCGCGCGCGCGCACACACACACACACACACACACGGAGAAGAGAGAAGGATGGGGTCTTCATAGGAATATGGGGTTATTTCATAAATATGGCTCCATCTGGCTTTCACCTAATTTCTCTGTTGTCTTGTAATTTTGTCTTTTGCCCTGATTTAATTTCCAAAATCTGAAGGAAGATACCAATCTTTGCCTAGTTCAGAAGGAGAACAAATATATGTAATTACATGAGTCTCAAAGGGTTGTGACTACTAAAAACCTGTGATGAGGCTCAAAACAAAATTAATAGGACTATGTTTAGCATATTATGCTAAAAGTTAAAAAATTAATCTACCAAGTACAGAATATGAAAAAGTTAAAAGTGAACAGCAATTTGTTATAGTTAATGATTTGTTGGCTATAATCTTAGTATCAATTATGCTTTCAAGTGCCATAAAACTACAATGAAATAAATATTGTTGGACATGTATCTTGAAGAACAAAAAAAAAGAACACATTTTAGAATATTCTTTAGAGAGCTACCATTGTATAAAGGGAAGTTTTAACATTTGGAAATATGTGAAGTAAAAAGTGTATGAATGCTGAAAGATTCTAGGAATCTATTGCTTTCAAGGGGACATTGAACTCAGTAGAAAATTGAAAAGATGAAGAATGTATAGTGAAAAAAATAATGAAAAATTAAGCTGATTCCCCCTATTGGATAAGCTACAAAGTACACAAGGGTTTAGATTCATTTGCACTTCTCTGGCTGAAAAGAAAAAAAAGTTTCAATTAATGGTGTAAGCAGGGATTGACTACTCTGTGCACTGCTGTACTTCTTGTTCCTAACATGTTCAGTGCTAAGAGTTCCTTCACTAAAGGGAAATTGAAGAAGATAGCTGAGATAATTTGTCATTCTTAAGTGTCTAGAAGTCTAATCATTTCATGAGAAAATGATTCTCCTTCTCAAATATTAGTGTGAGTGCTTCTGTGACTCAAGTCATCCACACAAGGGGTTAGTCAATTATGGCCTACAAGTAACACATCTTGAGACACCCATAAAGTTAAAATAAATGAAATAATAATAAATGAAATTCCAACTTAAGTGTCTATAAAGTTTTATTGGGAGACATTCGCACATATTTGTTTTCTTACAATCTGTGGTTGCCTTCATGTTGAACTGGGCAGAATTTGTGACAGGCTAGACAAAATATTTCCTATCAAACCATATATAGAAGAAGTTTGCTGAATTCATCTCTGTACTATAAGAAAACTTTGCTGCTCAAGTATCAACTTTGATACTTAAGTATCTCAAAAATAAAAGTCACAATAGATACCAGCTGAAGACCACAACAAAAATTAAGACATGCACAGTTTTTTGTGTGTGTTGATAAGAAATGTACTCATTATCTTGCTCATGTAACTGTAACCCCTCAGTACAGTATTTTCACAATATAAACATTAACAAAAAGATAAAAAAAATACTAGAATTGTGATTCAGGTAGATAGTCTGATGGTTAAAGATGGGCCCATTTTGGCTGATAACCTGTTGAAACATTTTGTCAAGAAAAGTTTGTTTATTATTGTTATAAGGAATTTTGATGTCTCTTCAGTCACTTCCACATGTACCATGTCTAATTAACATGTAATATGCCTAAGTAATATGCCTGTGTAAGCTTTGTCTAAGCCCATTGATCTGGCTGAAATGACCTATTTCCTAACTTTAAGTTACTTTATTCCTGCTATTCAGCTCTGGTGTGTTTGCAGGAGACAAAGCATAGAAGTTAATGTCTGCAAACAGAGTGAAAGTAGTTCAAATCTTGTAACTACCCCTTTTTCTATATTTTTAAGTCTGTAGAGTCTCAAAGAAGTTTTTACATTGCAGAGTTATGGAGAGAGTAAGAAGTAAGAAGATACTGTTCTTGATCAAATATGTTCTAGAAGAGATAAAAGAATAACAGGATAAAAATAAATGCACTGTAAGAGTTGATATTGTTGGTAAACAATTGATAAAGACATGCTAGAATGATGTTAAACATAAGATATTTATGAAATATGAAATAGTTTCCTTAACATAGAGACAAAAGAGAAGTTT